CCTGACTGTTTCAACACACACCGAGTCGGTCACGGTGCCACGCAAAACCCTCATTACGTATACGAAGCATAATGAGCTTATAAAAGTATGCGGAAGGAATGAGCGACTGTAATACGCCGCCGACACATGTCGAAGCAGCTTAATTTATTTTTGGATATCTCTTCAGCTCCTCAGTCTTGTCCGAAAGACACCAGATGAACCAGAAGAAATGTATTAATTTAATTGATAGATAGGTGGGTCTTTGCTAAGGACTCCCGTTCTGCAATAAGGGACCACTACTTCTAGCTCATCTAAGAAATCACCAATCTGCATAGGGAAACTAATGTGATTTTTCCTCTGAAATAAGCCACAGAGCGTTATTGTTCTTCACCGCAAAATGTAGTCAATTGGAATACGTTTTGCAGTTAGGATCCACGGTTTTTGACTCAGTTCAGAAACAACGTGTGTTTCAATAGGTTCCCTATGCGCATGAAGGTTTTTACGGATGTGCTAGGAATCGCAGTTGCTAATTGCAAAATGAAGTCCAATGAATCAATAAAACTATTGCTGAGGAATATCATCCATATCTGAGAGTGACCTCCGTTTGATGTAAAAAATGATGGTTTTTTTTCGGGGAGAGGAAGATAAATCAGCAAAATTACAGTCATATCAAACGCAATCTGCACTAAGTAAAAACTGTAGTTAAAAGCATCACAGTAGTAGCGTTTCATATGAACTGTTTAATTAACAGCAGCTGTAACCATTGCTAATGGTATTAAATAATTTTTTCCGATATGTCATCCTTCACTGGCGTGGTATTAAAATTATTAGTGAATGTTAAGAAACACCACTATTTTGGTTATGATCACTATTAATTAAAAGCTCATACAGACTACTACTAATTCGATCATTGTAATCATAGTTCTTTCTCAGTGCAAAAACACTTGGCAACATCGAGCGTGATAGAATAAAGCGCACGGTTCCCATCGCCTATTACCTCGTTTGCCCACGAATCGATGAATGACCGATACGAAAAGAAGATCCTCCCGGTTCTTCCGACTGGTTGCATAATCATCGGAGGTAAGTATTTACGACCGAAAGGTTACGATTGTTTAGATCAGTGTGTCTACTGCATAAAAGATCCACTCCGAAGGGCCAGGAAGAGTTGCTTCATTAAAATGAGCGGGTCGGGTCGCGAAGCCATTGACCAGAGGAGAGGTGTTCCGGAAATCAATCAAGTTTTTTACGAGACATTGTTGCGATAATCGATTTCATGTTATTCTACGGATTAATGTCCAGGAGTTGCTCATTTCAGAGACGCGAAAGCGTGCGATCACAGGTGTGATGCATTCGTAGGTTATGGTGAAATAAAGGCTTGAGGCGCTTTTGTCTGGAAGATTTTTAACCAGATGTAAGAATTGACCCGTGAAAGAACTATCGTTGTCTATGATCGATTTGACCCCCTTTTTTTAGGTTTTCTACAGAGTTTTTTCCCTTTTATTTAATTTATTTTTTGCGGCTTATAAGACTCGAAAAAGGTGAAGGTCTTTGGACAACTATTCTAAGCGAGATTTAGGCGGGATTCAGTGAAAGTGTGACGACACTTTTTGCGCTCGTTTTTGTTCCCAAACTTGACTGTAAATTGCAAGTTATAACGCATTAAAATATAGTTCAATTCATTTATAAATTAGTGCTAACTACTTGTCAGCTTCATGGAAAAATTTAGGTTTAATCATTCGATAAAACTGTAAGATTGTCAGATAGAGGAAGCTAGTCTTCTTACTTAGTTTCATTCCAAATATACTCTCACTGGAAAAGTATCCAATGATGGATTGAAAGGACATCTTTGGAACACTCCATTATAGAGTAAATTTTTTTAGAAAAATAAAACTCTTGTTGTTTCAAGAAAAAGTCTATTTGTTTCAAAAAGAATTCTATTCCAGAAAACACTATTGGGAACATTTCTTTCTCGTACGTTCGTAGATTGAACACAGAAAAACCCGATTTTAGCAAAACCGAAAACAGTCACTTAATATGGAACCACCTAGTCTTAATGTGCGATAGTAATTAAAGACGCTATTTTGATTGACCATAAGACTCATCACTTGCACATTCTATGTACTTACCGCGGAAAAGAGGTGTTGAGTTACACAATTTAAATTAAAAACTATTTTAAAGCTTATACTTTTCAGTACCGAAAACATTATCCTGCCTATAACAGCTGTCCATTTAATAGCGGTTGTCCGGTTGTGTGCGGTAACAAGCACACAATAAATATCAGTTTTTATCTAATTCAAAAGGCTCCCGTAATTAAAATCTTTCCAGCGTCCCCCTTTCAAATCACTCACTAACACGATACTTCCAAAGAGTTTAAGAATTAAGGTTTCTTATTAGTAAGCCACGTGTCGTGAATTTTAAGCCCTCTTCTCTTTCTTCTTACTGAAACCAATTCGCATTCATCATTGTGAAACAAGAACCAAGTAAACCGGAAGCCGTTAGCGTACTCACGAGGAACGGAAATAAATCGAGATACTTTCACACGGTTCATGAACAAAATAGCAGGAGAAAATAAGGCGCCAAAATATGCAAATGACCGATGACGCATGAGTGAAATTCAAAGTTGAGCTTGCGATTGTACGAGTAAATGACCAACTGAATCAATTTGTATAAATAAACAGTAGGGGGCAGGCTGTGAAGTGAGATTTGGAGCGTTTACTCAGGGTAGAGTGTTCATTTACTAAGTGTGAGTAACTGACACATATTTTCCACTTAATTCATTGTCCGTTCCGAGATTCTTTGATTTTGGACACAATAAAATGGAAGGACTTTTACTTCGCAATTATATAAGTATATCGCTTAAAAAGAGACGAAATTGTCCGAGATGTTTTTATGACACGAAAGCTTCAGGAGAAGGCTGTATATGTGTCAGTACAAATGTTAGGAAGTGTTCTCCAGTTTGAACAACTTTAAACTTAGAAAAACGAAATGTGTAAAATCGGACTGCAATTAGGAACCATCATTTCTGGCTCAGTTTAGAAACGACGTAAGTACCATTAGTTCCCTATGAACATAAGAGTTTTTACGAGTGAGCCAGAAATTATAGTTCCTAATTGCAAAATACAGTCCAATTGGTCCAAATTGTTCAAAGTACATTGTGAATTTGACTCAAACAACGAGCTGATAGGGCAGGCCTGATTCTTTTTAAGATAATATAGGCAAACCGCAAGATTTAATGCCAGCGGAAAAAAAGCATAAGAAACTAGTTTTGTGAGGTAATTAAAAAATCATGTATTAAATGGTCTGGAAGAGCCAAAACTCAAACGCTGCCTTTTAATAAACGGCTATGTAAGAGCAGAATTTAAGCACTATTTGCCAGGCTGAAGGGAAGGTACCATAAACACAATCAAATAATGGCAAGGAGAAGAAAGATAGACATAAAGATCCCCTAGCATTTTAAAATCGATAGATGCGGATATTGATATGATATGTGATTTTAACACACTTCAACAGTTTGATTCACACCGGAAACAATGTTATTTTCGCAAATGATCATTACCATCTATACTTTTTGGCAATAGCAATTCTAATCACATGAGAGAACCGTTGCACACAAAGAGACTTAAACGACCGGTTAGAAAAAGGTACCTTTTTATCTCTCATACTCCCCTTGTTTTGCATAATGTATTTTACTTATTTTCTAGCCAAAACATCTCCTTCGAAAACGTGATTATTTCTGACTGTCAATTGTCGATTGATTGATCCTCAGTCCTTCCACCGCCCAGAAAATTTAAAAATATCATGAGGGTGGCTTTGTAGTTGTAAAGAATGCCATCACATTCGTTGAAATACGCAAAAGTTTATCTTCAACTAAGATGAAGCATTTTTAAGGGAATTCCATCCTCCAAAAAGAAAAATTCTACAGGGTTGAAATTGAACGGCTCATTTCTTTTGGAGCATGAAGTGTTTTTAACATATTCCTCAAAAGTCATCCTCCAATACTGATATGACATGCGCGCAATAACGCGCGAAATCATGCAGAGCCCTACACGTCGAGCGGGACATTTTAACACTGAAAAAATTTGAAGTTGATTCAACATTCTGGATGTAAAAAAAGTGTGCGAGAACTTTCAAAATGCTAAATTAGCTCCTACAGCAGTAATTTTAGCAATGTCAAGATGTAAAACTAACTGCCACAGCGGGTAATTTAGCATTTTGTGAGTTCTCGCACACTTTTTTTACAACCAGAATGTTAAATCATTTTTACTTTTTTTTCAGTGAATGATCACTCATTATCACTTTGAAAGAACATGCTTTTTTGTTGTAAAATTGCTTTTTCTTTGTCTATTGAGTAATATTCTGTGTAAACTGCATACACTTTTGCTTTTGAAAAAGATATGAGAGCAATATTCTAAAAACACAGCATTCCAAACTCAAAAGCTCCCATAGCTTCACCACTAACACTTGAAACTTTATAACCACGTGTTGCATTTCCTTAACGCACAATTTATTTTGGTATTATTTTAGAGGGGAAGAGGGGTATGGTTCAACACTTTTCTTATAGGGAAAGGCCCTATATAATAGGCGTATCGAAGTTTTTTTAGGTTTAATGAAGGTTAAAAAAGTAAGAAACTAAAGATATAAGCTAAAATAAAACAAAAAATCAATTAGAGGGTGTCTAGAAATGTAAAGAGTCAATCAAAAAGGCCTTTAAGGTGAAAAAAAAAATTAGGGAGATACTGTAGTTTAGAGAGGTCAATTCTGCATTATTTGGTGCAAAAAACGTACACAATTTTCAAAAATCGATCCTTTTATAGTTAGCCTTAGTCACAATTACTTTCTGCTGATACAGCACTGATAATGCAAATCTGGCTTGAAATTTTCATCAAAATTTTAACATTAAAACTAAAAATTGAAATTTTTAACCCCAGCGCAAATTTCCCTCTCCCCCGAGCAATTTACGTTTCCACCCTTAAGGGCCCTTTTGCCTGACTGCATGAGGAATAATCAAATGGAAGACTTACTTTACTTGAGGTAAGCATATTTCCTTGGAACCGGATCAACATAACATGTAATCAAAGCACAACACTCGAACGTGATCCAATGACCGTTGACGACTGACGTCGGAAAATGCTGCCTTTTCGTATTTATACGAGCGCGGTCGCGGCGCGAGTGGAAGGTGGATGGTGGATGGTGGCGCTCCTCAAGGTCCTAACCCTGACCCCCTACTTTCATCCTCCGTCCACTCTCACTTTCCTCCGCTGGGCGCCCGGCCGGCCCCTCTCTTCCTCGGAGGGGGCAAAGCTCCCCTAACTTCCGATTCGCCGCTCCGCGCGCCGACGCCGCCGCTATCAGTCCAGATTCCCTGCCAAGCCCTACATTTTACCTTTAATTGCTGCGCCTTATCATTGTCTACTATCGTGCGTATTGCATCATAATCATGCATCACGTGTTTTAATTTCTTATTTTTGTATTTCGCACGAAACGAGGGAAGAGCAACGATATTAAATTTAGTAGAAATTTTCATCGATTGCAATATAATTGAACTGAAATATTCGGACAATTCGTCAACAGTTGAGACTCTTGTGTCATCGATCACACGCAACACTGTGCGGGCTAGGAAATTTACATTTTTGGCTAACAGTTATTTTTATTAAATTTAATACTTCACTTTTTATTTTTACTTATTTTGGGTTTTCGGCTACTTATAATGAAAGAAAACAATGTTGAGCTTTCCGCCAATTTTCTTCTTAATAATAAGTTAACTCAGGTCATGCTTAAAAACACAGCATGTAAGAATGTTCACGGAAAGAAAAGCACGAGGTTGTTGGATGATATGGACATTTCCAATTATAATTGTGGTAGTACCCCAATTAATTATGGTAGTACCCCAATAAATTAAGTAACTAACTCAAATGTTGCGGTACTACCCTAACTTGAGTTGCGGTACTAATACAATTAATTAGAAATGCCCGTATCATCCAACTAATTGGGGTGGTACCACAATTTTAGGGGATAACTGACACTTTTTTTTCCGTGTTCATTTCAAAATTACCGTAATTTTTCTTTGTGTCTTACTGCTCTTAAAAATATGTCCGTAAAATTGATCAATTAATTTTATTCAAACTGAAGTCATGACCTTTCCAAAGTCTCAAAAGACTTTTCAATTTTGCTTGATTTTCACAATTCAAACGCAAAAAAGGCACGATTTTAACCTGTTATTGAAAATAGGCCTTCAATAATGTCTACAAAATATTCTGCACCTCAATCTTTACATGACGTCAGTGATCAATCGGTCGTTGATTAGTCGACTTTGCACTAGTAAAAAAAAACCTCTTGGACCAATGCCGAATTGCACTGACTTAAAGAGTGCAGTTTCTTGCCGCCGGATTTAAGAGTCTGGAACTCTTGTTTCAAGCGGATTTTGCATTGAAACAAGAGTCCAGACTCTTAAATCCGGCGACAAGAAACTGCACTCTTGAACCAAGAGATTTTTTTTTACCAGTGTGGGGTATTTTTGGAAAAATCCAGTGCATCGTACGTATTATTGAAGGATTTTAACACGTATTATATGACTGAGAGATTTACCACCGCGTGCAAAAACACGTATTACGTGGATTTCCGCCGTGGCGACCCTGTTCGCAGGCGCCACCGGTGTCTCTGACCTTTCTCCTATTACGTTCATGCGAGAGATGCGTGGAGTCTATCCTTCGCGGCGTTCCGCCCTTCTCCATGCTTCTTCTTTTCCGACTCGATACCGGAATGACTGTTGCGAAAGGAACGGTGATGTGCGTCCGATGAATTTCATAACTTGCATCCGTGCACTCTTGTCTCATACTTTTTTCCCCTTCGCCATTAATTCGTAACACTTATTCATAATTCGAATCAGCAAACATGCAACGTTGCTACATTGATGCAATTGCCAAGGTGACGACATTAAAACGAAAAATACCCCTTGTAAATGCCGCAGGCAAATAGTAAAATCAGGCATTTTGTCAAATGCCCAGGCAAATATTGAAATATTCTTACTTACATTGAAATTTTGATTTTTTTCCTAATTTAAAACAAAAAAAAAATCGTTGCTCCAGTACGAAAGAATTATTCGCAAAAATATGCAGCATACAATAGTATTTTAAATGATTTTTAGTTCCTGAACGCACAATTGGACGTATTTCTATCAAACAGACCTATGTGGAGGTGAGAAATGTGGGGTGTGCTCGATAGTTCTCTTTGCGTAAGAGTGAATGAGAATAATGAAGCGCCAGTGACGTCAGCGGCGACGATGGAGACTCCGATCCGCGGATCCGTGTCTTTAACTCATGAGCCCTGTCCACAACGCTCTCTTGCCATGCCCGCGGCTCATGAATTCCGCATTCAGATGGCACATAGGTCTGTTTGATAGAATGTAAAATCCCGCTTTCCCAATTCTTCAAAAGGAATTACGCCCACTTTACATTGCTTCTTATGCAGCTTCGACGGGCACACCCCATATTCCTCACCTCCACATAGGTCTGTTTGGTAGAAATACGTCCAATTATCTTGCAATTTTCAGCACGTCATGAAACATGATATTTTTAATATGTTAAAACTTTTAAATGAACGAGAGGCATTTGAAAACGAAGGAACAAAGAGAGTTCGTGGATTTGAAGAGTTATTCTTCCCAAAATATTGAAAACCGGTGAACTTCTTTGCCATAAATTTACAGAATTCCGTGATTTGTAAAATTTGACTACCGGCCTAGGCATTTGCTAAAATGCCTGATTTGACTGATTGCCTTCGACATAAACACAGTTCTTTTTTAAAGTGAAATGAAAACTATTTATTTTATTTGTGGTTATCATGCAATTCCATAGAAATATGTTTTGTTCATAAAAATTAGAGGCAATTAAATTAAATATGACTCAGTCATGCGCAAACCTTATTTTCGTTTTTTGTTTCGGCTGAAAATATTGATTTTTGCCTCAGCATGATACTTACGAATTGCATTCACCGAAACGTGTATTTCTGTAATCCTAAATTGTCAGACAGTAAAGTTGGGTAGGATTCTGTTGCAATTGTGACAAAATTAGCAAAAATGACTATTATAGGCTGGAATCTGTAGATGGAGGAGCCAAAAGTATTTCCTCCGGTAAAAATGGTTGCCATCCTGAAAAAAAAGTATCACAACTCCAACTATACTGCTGGCTGATTTTGGCAAAAGATGCAAGAATAGTTGCACTAGATACTTGATCCAACCACACTTTCGGCAGACTCAATTGTGGCTCTATAGTGCAACTATTCTTAAATCTGACACCAAAATCAGCCAGGAGTATAGTTGGATTGTTATACTTTTTTCCCCGTGGCATCTTAGCAAGACTTTTACGAATTTTTTGTCTACCCACTTCAGAAAGTGCATCCCCTCACCAAAGATTACATCAAGAATTAATTGATTTTCCGTTAATATTAGTTTGGGCTTTACAGAATTTTAAGATTTTTTTTTACGTTTAGATTCTCATTTCTAGTATATAATCTCTAATTAAAGGTTTTATTGATTGAGGTTATACAGATTTTTTTCAGGAAAACAAAATGACCGTACAAGGGAAAAATTGACAAATTTACACCATGCCTTTAATCTCAGATCTCGCCTCTGCAGAGAGTTGTCATCTTGTAGACAGTCATCTCACTCTCGCTCACCCAATAGAATCAGCGAAGTTCATTCAGATTTGAACGAAATGTTGCAACTAATGTCGACCCACATCAGACGTTGCCTGTTTAACTGGATCTCTCTCCGGAAAGGAAAGAAAAAAGTGAGCTTTGTTTGCGCATTTTAATTTCTCTTCCGCCTTTGTTTCTGTGGGCGAAATAAATGAAATCGCAATAAACTTAAAAGGAGAAAACTGACAAAAAGTATCTTGAGCGACATTTTATAAGGAGTGATTTATTTATTTTGGACACATTCCCTCCCCTGGAAATTGGACAATGGGCATTTAATCATTGGTACCGGCGACGCATCGTGCAAAATAGTATAAGTACGAGTATTATTGAATCATTCAGTTGTCCAGTTGTCCGTAGTTACAGTATACTTATATATTTTTTTGGCAACTGGGCCAAAATATAATTGTCAATTATATATGTAGTTAAATGTAGGCATATAGGCACCGATGTGAAGTAATTAATCCAGTGATAACTCAAATTCATTGAGGTCTGATTCTATTTATAAAAATCGACTTAGATACGTAGATGAAAATAGGAATACCCGTAAACACTGTGTATCAACTACATTTTGTTCAATAAATAGCATTTTTTTTTTTAAAAAAAAGGGGGGGGGGTGCATTGAATATCAGTTTATGCACTGATACTACTTTCTCAAAGTATGTGATCACACTCTCATTCAATATGACAGGGCCATATGTTTACTCCTTATGCAGGTACGCACTAAAAATGAAAACCAACTAATTCAATAATCCGTATCGAGTAAAGTGAAAAATGTATTTTTTTATCGAAATGGTTATACGTCAACATGACATATGCCGTCAAATGAAAACTTGATTCGTTGGTACCGTATCCCTAACCAAAAAATCGTCTATATACCATTTAGGTGAATTTAATCTTGCGCAAAAAATTCGGGCAGCAGTATATTAATGATATAAATGCAAAACGAGTGAAAATGTTTAAATCGAAAAATTTACCGCCTTAGGGATTCTAGATCTAGTATTTTCGCCACCGTTGTGGTTAGTAAAAAGCACCGGCGTGGTGCGCGGTGCAACGTTTGCATAGCGCGCAATTTTTGGTTCAAGCAGGAAAAACTAGCAGAGCGCCTTCAACTTTTTTCGCGCAACACGCGCATCCATGGAGCACGAATAGTCGCATCCAGGCGCCGTGATGTACTTTGCCTCCTATCGCGCATCCAGCGGCTGCAGAACTAAGAGAAACGGAGAACAATTCGATGGTGAGGGTGAAATCACCAAACCACGTTTCTCGATTTGCGACGGTACAAAAACTCCTGTCATATTACTGTATCCAAATAATGCCTGATTATTATCGTTTTTCCCCTACATTTTTCCCCCGATTATTATAGGCGATATATAGTTTGGTAGTTGTAAAATGTTTCCAAAAAACTCGCAGATATATTACTAAATTATGCATTTTTGTTGATTAAGGTCCTTTTC